TGTGTGTGCGTATAGGATATATATATATATATATAATATTGGGTCATGATGAGGCTTTCCACTTAGCATGACATACAAGGCATGTCTTGCATGCAAAAAGAAAGAACAAAAAAAAGAGGGAGAGATGAGACTCCACTCATGCATGTGGGTAAAGGATAACACTTGGGAGAAAAGAGAGAGAGAGAGAGAGAGAGAGCTCTCTTTAAGTTCGGCTAAGGAAGAAAAAAAAAAAAAAAAAACTCTCCACTTGAGAATCTCGGCCAAGACTAGGAGGGGAAAATGGTTGAGCTTGGTGGTGGGCTTAATGGTGGAAGATTAGTGGTGGTGCTTGGTGGTGAAGGAAGTGGATACAAGAGGTAAGCTTAGTTATGTAATCTACCTTCTCTCCTCTTGAATGTATAGATACTATTATAGTGTATGTATTTGGGTATTGCATGTGGGTTAAATGTTATGCTTATGGTGATTGCGTAGTACCATGGGTGTTGCATGAAAAATTAACATAATGCTTATGTGGGTGTGTGAGTATAATTAGTGTTGTTGCATGAAAAATAAAAAGAATGGGATTGTTATGTGTGGGTTGAATTTTGGTCAAGAGAGATAGTAGTTTGGTGGCTAGCTTAGAAATCTTATGAATTGTTTTTGAAATTTCATAACTTCAAGGATATGAATTAATTGCAAGAAAGCAAGTAATTTTAAGATTTTATAGAAAATGGAGTAAATTCAAGTATACATTTGTTGGATTTGCAATTATATGGAACAGTTTATCTTAGTGTAATTAGTTCAAATAAATATTATTTTAACGGATTCGAGAAGACTAGCTCTATTGATTTGAGTAGATAATTTTACTCGATGTGAATAAATTATTTAATTTGACTCGAATCAATTATTAAACTTGATGTGAATGGATTATTTAATTTGACTTGAATTGATAATTGAACTTGGTTCGAATAAACTATTTCAAACTTTGAGCATTATTATATATTAATGCCAAGTGAGATTGCAAATATTGGGTGTGCCAAGTTTGAAGGTGAACACCTCAAAGAACGCCGCACTCAAAACTTTGGCAAAAGGGTCATCTTCGAGGTAGCATTCCATGCAAGGTAGGTGCACTACCCACATCTTTTATTTGATAAATATTTAAGTTTGGTTTATATGTTTAAGAAATGGTTTATGTTGAGATTCAACAATTGAGTGATGTGATAATATTGTGTAATTGAAATTGACTAAACGATGAAGTAATTCTTTGTGGCTTGGGTTGATTGTGTAATTGAATATGTGCATACGACATGAGTTGATTTGTTTGGGTGGTAAACTTACTTGTGAACGTGATTCATTCTTACTATGAGATATATATTATGACAAATTATTATTGGATACAAGTAGTCTTCGTGACAGGAACAAAGTGTTCAATTTGAGTTGTCTACGTGACAGGAATTAAGTGTTCGATTTTGAGTGGTCTTTGTGACAGGAACTAAGTGTTCGATTTTGAGTTGTCTACGTGACAGGAATTAAGTGTTCGATTTTGAGTGATCTTCGTGACAGGAACTATGTGTTCGATTTTGAGTTGTCTACATGACAGGATCTAAGTGTTCGATTTTGAGTTGTCTTTATGATAGGAACTAAGTGTTTGATTTTATATTTTATATGTGGCAAGACGAAATAAAGTGATTGTGAGTCATCTAAATGATGTGAATTTAATGTTTGGTATGGGTCATCTACGTTATGGAAATTAGCGATGTGTTTCGAGTTGTCTACTTGATGAAAGATTAGCTATGTGCTATGATTCATCTAAGTGTTGAGAATTGTTTTTGTGTGGCTTGAATTTCTGGTGTGGCCGGGATTTGTGCGAGAGGGGTATTCGTTGTGTGGCTTAATTTAATTATGTGAAACTAATGATTTATGTAGTATATTTTGGCTATGTGGTATACACAAGTTATGTCTATGTGATGTACACCAATAACATCTATGTGATGAATTGTAATTTGAATGTTGGTAACTGCTGCGTTGTTAAGGTTGTTCCTCAATTAATAAATTGTTTCTTTTTCTCCTCTTGTGCTCATGATTAATGATCACCTCATTGCTCTCACTAATGATCATAATGACTTTTCAGGAAAAATCGTAAAGATGCGAGGAGTCTACTGTCAAGTCTAGAAGGTCGATTGGGATGTCGTCGTGGGGAGGGGTGGTTTTGTCTATTTGTCCTTTTTAATTAAATTGTATTTCTTTTATATGTCATAGTTTTGAGATCAATATCACAGTCTGACAATAGGTGGGGCTCATGGTGAGCCATTCCACAAAGGGGTTATGGTGAATTTTTATGTGTTTGTATTTACATATAGAAAAGGGGTAGAGATTTATGGTTGTTGTCAAGTTCTTTTTATCGTTTGTGATAGATAGTGTACCCCAAGTTGGAGTGTTACAATTTTTGGTATCAGAGCCAAGTTTACAGGTTTTGTAGACAAGTACATTTAGGTCGGCAGTGGACAGTTTAGGGGGTCTGTATATTGTAGATAGAGTTAGACATTAGGATGCTAATGTTATGTATGTGTATATTTATTAATATTGATTGTTTGTTTTATAGCACTATGAATTAAGGATTTTACAATTACTTTGGATTGAATAGAGATGAAATATTTTTATGTTCCGTTTTATGTTGAATGGATAGAAAGGACAATGTTAAAAAGGGCGTTGATTAGAAAAACCAATAAGGGATATGTTAACATAAATGTTTGAATGAAAGCATAATGGGTTTGATTTATTGAATGATGAAATTGAAACACATGTAGTAACATGATTGTAATAACTAATGTGCTATGGTGGGTTATTATAGTGTTGATTATGAAAAATTTACAAAATTGTGAATAGTATGTGTTATGTGTGAGAAGTGAAGACTTTTAACAACTTTAACTATATCGGTAAAGCTATTATGTAGTACAAGCTAACTGTGAGTGAGTTGTGAAAGTGTCTAAAGTTAGATAATCTCTAAACAAAAGNATATGTGTTATGTGTGAGAAGTGAAGACTTTTAACAACTTTAACTATATCGGTAAAGCTATTATGTAGTACTAGCTAACTGTGAGTGAGTTGTGAAAGTGTCTAAAGTTAGATAATCTCTAAACAAAAGCATTGTGAGTAAGAAATACTTTCAATGTTTTAAACTCAAGGGATGATGTTTGTGATAGAGTAAAAAAAAAAAAAAATATTTTATTTGTTTCCTTATCTTGGCATAGACCCTTGGTTTTTAGTTTGCTAAATCGCTAAGTGCTTGAAAGTACTCAACTGAGTTTAGATACAAGCTCTTGAGATTTGGTTGTTCACAGGTATATATGGTTTATGAATTTAAATACACACTTAGCTAGGGAAAAATGGCATGGTTAGTACGAAATGCCTATGTAGNGAAGTGCTTGAAAGTACTCAATTGAGTTTAGATACAAGCTCTTGAGATTTGGTTGTTCACAGGTATATATGGTTTATGAATTTAAATACACACTTAGCTAGGGAAAAATGACATGGTTAGTATGTCTATGTAGTTAGGTTACATTGTTTGTGAAAATATTTAAAAATGGGCTGATTCATCAATATGCATGTATATGTAACACCTTTAGCATGTATGAATAGTATTTATATAGGATTTGNGCATGGTTAGTACGAAATGCCTATGTAGTTAGGTTACATTGTTTGTGAAAGTATTTAAAAACGGGTTGATTCATCAATCATGCATGTATATGTAACACCTATGTATGAATAGTATTTATATAGGATTTGACATAATTTGTGCTAGGTGCAGTGATGACAATAATATTGTCAGGATCACCTAGGGGTTCTCAAAAAGGTGAATAAGTTGGGAAATAAAAAATTATATATATTGTGGAACACAATTGAGTTGAAACTTGATTGCTTAAACTATATAGTTTTACATTCAAGTATGAGGTTATGGTTTGTGCAACAGACTATTGTTATTAATGAGAAGGATTTANACTTGATTGCTTAAACTATATAGTTTTACATTCAAGTATGAGGTTATGGTTTGTGCAACAGACTATTGTTATTAATGAGAAAGATTTAAATTTTTCTGTAATTAATTCATTGACACATGTGAGTGCGTGTGTGTTTATATATATATTCATGTGATTGATAATGGCTAGAATATGTCTATGTAATAATTAGTGTATGTGCATGATGTTTATTGATCTAAAGATACTAACGGGCCTTGAAGGTCGTGAATCTAATCTATTTGTGTTTTGTCTATTTGTCCTTTTTAATTAAATTATTTTTCTTTTATATGTCATAGTTTTGAGATCAATATCACGGTCTGACAATAAGTAGGACTCATGGTGAGCCATTCCACAAAGGGGTTATGGTGAATTTTTATGTGCTTGTATTTATGTACAGAAAAGGGGTAGAGATTTATGGTTGTTGTCGAGTTCTTTTTATCGTTTGTGATAGATAGTGTACCCCGGGTTGGAGTGTTATAGATGGGTGATTAACGGGTTGAGATAGGACCCCCAAATTTTGGGGCGTCACAATNTGTACCCCGGGTTGGAGTGTTATAGATGGGTGATTAACGGGTTGAGATAGGACCCCCAAATTTTGGGGCGTCACAATTTTATTATTGTAAGTGTGTACTTCGAGAGGAAGAGGCAGAGGGAGAAGAGTAAGGGTTGAGACAATAGCAGAATAGGAACAAGCAGGGGGGAAGAGGGTGGACGTAGAAACTACCAAAAAGATAAACTAAAACCATGGAATAGGCTAACCATTAGCATTGTTAGTTGGAGATTAATTGAAACCATCAAAACTGTGAAGCGTTGAGATAAAAGAGCAAGCAGGAATCTCCAATGAGAAAAATCAAATCACGAAAAATATGATATTACTTGGGGAAAAATGATAGAAAACAAAATATTTCAAGTTGCTATAATCCATTATTGTCAACTTGGTGAAAGACTATAGTACTTTTGATCAAGTGATCTCATGTTGCATTGACCTCCTTAAACTTATGACATTCTAAAACAATGCTAATAAGGTCAACAATCCTGCAAGAACACTCACTCTAGTTACCATGGTAAGTCTCCTTCCATCACTTACAATCTGTATAGGGAAGAGGCAGTCCCCTTGTGAGGCATTTCGAGTCACAATCTTGGCCAGACCCTGAAAATCGCATGCCTCGACGTCCTGATTATTCATCTGGAAATACATATTGAATGCGTACGAGACATTCCCACGAACATCCAGTTTATTGCACGTTGATCCGTATATCAAGCTTGTGCAATCGAACAATGAGCAGGCAAAGTTAACATTTTCAGGCACCAGGCTCATGTTCTTTATGTCACTGTTTAACACGCACCACTGCTGTGGTAGGTATTGTACATTTTTTGCTCCAACTGGCATTTTGTCCTGACCTTTCCCGGTGAAGTCCGTCGGGAACTTAGGCTGTCCGTCATACCTGAAAATGCCCCAGTGGCGCTCAAAGTCGCCCGGGGCAATACTTTTTTGATTCTCATCTGTTAGACTAAACAGATATACTTCAATTGGCCCCGGGCGAAGTGGGGTTCCTTTGTTTGTAGCCATTTTCCTGAAGAATCCATCATAGAACCTCTTAGCCATTTTGGCATTGGCATTTATATTTCCATCCGATTGGCCATCCGATCTCCCCGACGATGGTCTTCACGTTCGGTGCACCAGCCTTCTTGAGTGACCAAAATAATGTATCAAGATTTGCATCAAACATGTTTGTGTATTGAGTACCTTTGTCATTGACAGGTTCTGCACCACCGTCAAAGAAAGCAAACTCGACAGGAAAATCAGGATTGCCGTACAGACTGAGAAAGGGGTATATGTTGACGACAAATGGGGCATTGTTGTCTTTGATAAATTGAACTATATCGATCATAAGGTCCCTTATGTCCGATCGGAAATCACCGGCAGATGGGCCTTGTGAACCAGAGTCGTAGACATCCGCATTTTGGGGGATGGTTGCTTTGATTTTGTCTCCAACACCAGCTGCATCAAGAGCTTTCTGAATGTTTTTTAATGCTGGGAAGGTAGTTTTCAGATGTGAGCCATTGTAAGATTTCAAGAATGGCTCATTGCCAACAGCCACGTACCTGTAAAAAGCATGAAATCAGGGAAAAAAAATGACAATTAGAAACAAGAGAACTTGGCCGAGTTTGCAATATTAGCAACTGACTCAAAGGCATTGAGACGCATCGATCATAGCATCAAAGAACGTGCATGAAGCAACAGATAGAAGAAGAAGTCAGACATGACCAATAATTGTGGCCATAGTGCGGCATTGTACAACCGGTACACTGTAATTCGCTGATGTTAACTTGGACAACAAGATGAAGTTGTCTGAGACATTGTGACTGGATCAAGTTGTCTGAGACATCGCCGATGTGGTGTACACATGAAGTGTATACACCTCAAAACAGAAGGAACCGAGATGGATAGTCATATCCGAAATCAGTCACTATATTAAACCATGATTGTTAGCGAAGGTTACTCACTTTATATTGACACCACCATCATACAAATGTTTGGTGACATTCTCCTTCACCCAGTCCTTGGCATTGTCATAATTGTCGCTGAATCGATTCAATTGGCTATTGGGGATACCAAGCATGACTTCAATGCCAGTTCCAGCAAAGTATTTGACAGTCCAGTTATCCGAATCAAACAGTTTAACCTTACTGATCTTATTGTCCTTAAGCATTTGAGCCACCACACTTGGGTGCAGATTTTGTGTTGCCTGAGTGCCCCAGTTCACACCTATGCCATCGACGAGATAGACCATGGCCAAAAGCACAGAATAGGCCCATATCAGGACCATGGCACGAGCCATGGTTCAAGCCGGTTCGATGACAATTGTGTATATTGGGGTAGGGATGAATGTACCTTTTGGATTTGAGCTGCAGGTTGAAGAAAAGGGAATTGAATTGTGTTTTGGCCCTTGGAGGAGATATGAGAATTGATGGAATTGCGTATGTTTAGAGAGAGAATTGAAGAAAAAGAGAGAAATGGGTGATCACAAGTTTTTACTGGTTAATTTGTGGATGCGAGAAAAGGCCATGGAACCTTGTTTTTAGGCTCCAAATGAAGGGTTTAGAAAATAGAAGATAATTTTAGTTAGGCTAAAATTGTAGAAAACTGAACGATGGATTTCAAATTGACCTATGCAGTGACTTCGATTTAGTATCTTTATTTTAATATAGCTGGTGGTGAAATGCAAACGGCAGTTCATAATTGTCGATATGCTGGTTCCCAACTGCTATTTAAGTGAAAAATTACCAAACAAAAAAGAACTTTATGGTCCTCTAATGTTAGCAGCAACTTATCCATCAATATTCACCCCAAAGGAATAGAGAACTTACCTATCACAGCTTCGTTTACATTCTCCTTTTGTAGCAACATGATTGAGTATTGTAGTATTGACTATGAAATTGAATGTCATTGATTTACAGCGTACATTAACTATGACATGAAATGAGATGAGATGCAGTAAGTCGTTATAGAATTTAATGAGGATCCCATAGAGAGTGATATGTATGAGTTTGGTAACTATAATGATGAATATGGGCATCGTCATGACAAATTCGATAAAAATAGAGATAAATCAATTGCGGCTACCTCGAAACACGTCATACTGAAAAATACGTTACAAGAGTTATTAGTTGAAAAAGTCCTTGACATGAAGTTTAACTCGGAAGCTGAAGCGGATAATTTTTATAACACATACGCTAAGTTTATAGGTTTCAACGTCAGAAAAGATGACTTAAAATATGACAAAAACCATATTCCAGTGTCAAGAAAATGGGTATGTTCACAATAAGGATTTCAAGCTGCAAATACCAAGACAGATATGAAAGGGCAGGGGAACCCAAAGGACTGACTTGAGTGGCTTGTTTGGCAATATTCTATGTTAAGTGCGAGAGGAAGTCAAAAAAATGGGTAGTAAAAGTGTTTGTGAAGGATCATAATCATCCGTTGGTTCCACCGAGTAGTGTGTAGCGTGCTTTGATGAGTTTTCTATCCATTAATCCCTTAAGATCTTTCCCTTTTTATTCCCTTTCACCCTCTCTTGGCTTCATAAGGTTGAAAGCTACTAAAAATTAACCTAAAAAACGTCCTTAGGGTATTTGTAGGGTAAAAAACTGTTCAAGCAGCGTGAGTCTGATCGCTACAAAACACGCACTCACATTCGAACGTGATTGGTGTTGGGACGTGCCACGTTCGAACATAAGTTGGGTTCAAATATGCTCCACTCACAGTATCTCTTGCTTAGGCTTGGGCTAATCAGCGTTCGAACACACTCTAATTTTTGCCTGAACTTACAAGTAGTTTTGCCCTAATTAGAAGTTGATTCATGAATTTTTCATGAATTACATTTTTGTAGCCCTTGAGGAATAGCTTTTTTAGGAGATATCCTATTGAGCGTAACACATCCTTTATGAANATTAGAAGTTGATTCATGAATTACATTTTTGTAGCCCTTTAGGAATAGCTTTTTTTAGGAGATATCCTATTGAGCGTAACTCATCCTTTATGGAAAAAAATTTCAAGTGCGGGTTATACACCAGTGGAAGACTCTCATTTCGGGCCTCAAAGATGAAGAAAAGTCGACTTGTGGCTTTTAAACTATGCTTTTGTAAAACTATGTCAATTAGTTTTTGGACATGTAATGTATGTAACAGAATTGTAATCGAACTCATATGGACTATTTTTAAATGTAAACTAAGTGCCAAATAATTAATCCTTATTTTGATTAGTACTAAATTTAATTACTAATCTACTTTATAAGTTATTATTTATTTAGGTATCTCTCCGACCTTTTTAGGCGTTTGTNAATAATTAATCCTTATTTTGATTAGTACTAAATTTAATTACTAATCTACTTTATAACCTTTTTAGGCGTTTATACATTTAATTATATTATAGAATTATTAATTTTTATTTTGTTAAATAGATTAATTAGTTCACTTATAATATTACTAGTTGATGCACACGTGCATTACACGTGCACTATTTAAAAAAAAAGTAATAATTAACCTAATCCTATTGAAAAAGTGTATATTTAAGAGGAGGAAATATGCAATACATCATTATCAAAATAATAATAATAAGTCCATGAATCACTTCAAAAAAAAAAAAAAAAATCCATGTATGTTTGGGCGAAGAAAACCAATTATGTCTTTGAAGTCATCAAAAAGATCAACAGTGCATGACATCTTGTTAAAGCATAATGGAAAAAATGAATATTTAATTTAACACCCATAGTTGTCTTGATAGAGAAGGTTACGATGCAATTTGAGACACAACAACAAACATTAAAATCTTACAATTGCACAATAGCTTGTGCATATTATAATGATTATATGATAAGGAAAACCAATAACCCCAACAAATNGAAAAAATGAATATTTAATTTAACACCCATAGTTGTCTTGATAGAGAAGGTTACGATGCAATTTGAGACACAACAACAAACATTAAAATCTTACAATTGCACAATAGCTTGTTTATTCATAACTGTTCGCATTTCGAACAAAATATTGTGTTGTGCATATTATAATCATTATATGATAAGGAAAACCCATAACCCCAACAACTTAAAAATTTACACCAGCTAAATAATGAAAATGGTCATAGACAACAACTAATTTGTTGAAACATGTTTGTAANATAACCCCAACAAATTAAAAATTTACACCAGCTAAATAATGAAAATGGTCATAGACAACAACTAATTTGTTGAAACATGTTTGTAAAGAAAATGAGGGATTGTCTTTTTATGAGTTAAAAATGTTTTATGATCCAAAATAATTCTCTGAATTGTTCATTTTGCACATTGGAAGAGTATAAAAAGTAAAAAATGCTGAAGTTTTAAGGATAACATGGGGCAGCAAATGAGTCTAGTTCAGGGCTGGAGAATGCCTAACACTTTACCAATGACAAGGGAAAACAATACATGCTGTGAAGTAAAGTAGTTCTTGGAAACCAATTGCAAAATTGCCTCAACTTTGATAATGGTTGTTACAAAAAGATATTACTACAATAAAAGACCATTTTTTTTGCATAATATGATGGTACTTCATCAAACAAAATAATAACACATAAAAATAGCAGCCTCCCCAGGTAGAGAAACACAAATCCTTGATGACATTTGCCAGTAATTGCATAGATTTCTGTTACAGTTCTCTTATCAGCATATTCTTGTCAGAAAAATCACAATGTACAACATATGAGGTACTGTAAGTCATAACTGGAGCTTCTTCAATCATCTCATGATGTCTTCTTTGCAAGCTGCAATCTCCCTGATGACCACAATAGCCTTTAAATATCTATCATAATAAGAAATCTAAAAGGGAATTCAAGGTTTGACTATTAAACCTTAGTTTTCCTACACAATGAATAATCTAAGACAACTGTAGCAGCCCAATTTTTTGCACCAAGAGAGTTTTTGAAAGAAAACCTGAATTTGCAGATAACCATCACTTATAGTGACTTGTCAAAAACTACTATAAAGAACTAATTTAACAAAATAAGAGTAGCTGGACTTCTATGTGCCTTGGTTGTGTACTATATATTTATTCAGTAGGATTGAGTTTATTCCAAAAAGTGCAAGAGCCCAATGTCTGAGAAAGCATTAAAATTTTGCACAATCTTCATACACTAAAAATGGTCGGCGAAGCACATACAATAGGATCTGAGAATTTTCACTGGAACAAGATAAACAACATTAATCCTATTTTAGCCCTGTTCTGACAAAGTGGTTTGAGCTATGTTATGGTTTTTTTTTTTTGACTAAATCATCATGATTCTTTTTTCTTTTTTTTTTTAGTCTTTTCTACAAAAGATCAATGGATTTGTTAATGCGAGAGTATGACAATGACAATGACAATGGCAATGGTTTAAGCTAGATGGCCAAAAAGTTGAACTAACATTTGTACATATGGTTTTGAGAATAAACATAATATGAAAATCAAAATATCATCTTAAATACTTATTTCATTGGATNCCTTCCGAAAAGTATTTTTTTTTTCTAGGAATTGTTTAACTTCAAATAGAGTTTTCTTAAAAAAATTATAGTTGAATGGAATTAAATTTTTTGTAATAAGAAAATAAAGTAGTAGCTATAGGATGGAAGATTTGATCCTACCAAAATATATGTCACAAGAATAACCAACCTTACCCAAATTTTAACTTCTATAAGCCAATGCATGCAAGCATGTAAGTTTTGTTTGCTTGTTTTTTGACACAATGCAAGCAAATAAGTTCAGCACACACAATTTCAATATGATACAAAATAAAATTAATAAAAAATGTCACCTGAAGTGATGGACGAAGACAATATACATCTTTCATAAAGAAACACTCAACCTGTATTCTCTTTTTAGTAATGTTTTTTTAAATAATAACACCAAACTATAAATTACACTTCTCCATTTCCATTCAGTATAAGAAAATTAGACCGAGCAGTAAAAAAGAATTAGACCGATACTTAGGCATGCCAAACATTGAGGTTTCATTAACAAAGGACAATGTAAAAAATAAAAAACAAAAGATAACAAATCAAAGTAGATGCATGGCAATACCATTCCTTGCATTTTGGGTCCAAACAAAATCCCCCAAAACTCGTTCCTTTTTCCCAGCCTGGGAAGCATCTCCAGAGTCCAGCCTTTGTCTTCTTTTCACCACAAGTCTTCTCTGCCTTATCCTTCATTTCCTTCACATGTGTTTTTGGAATTTTTCACCTTGGTCTCGACTTGCATTCAAATCAAAAGTTTTACATCCATCCCTTGTTTCGATTAAAAAGCAACTGAAACTGAGAAATTTAGCATTTATGAAATTTCATTTCCCTCTAAAAATTNAAACTGAGAAATTTAGCATTTATGAAATTTCATTTCCCTCTAAAAACTTCAATAATTAACAAAATTAAGTTCAGCTTGAAATACCTTAATTCAAAAAAATAAAACCAAAATTTCCACAAGAAATTTATGTATGAATACTTTAATTTTCTACCTGTTGTCTTGATTGATAGAAGCGTAGCGACCCTCTTATTTAGTTTCATCTTCTGGGTGAGTTGGGTTAATGAGATGAAAAATGAGAATTGAGAGAGATAGAAGAACCGTACCACAATTGATCGAATGTTGAAACCTGGTTGATTTGCTTGAATTCGTTAACGGATGAGGCCCCATAACTTCCATAATATTACTTTTATGTCCACTGATGTTGAGAAGATTACGTCGAATCCATAGGTGATCTTGCTTTGATGTCCAAGTGCATGGATACAAGAAGAATGATTAAGGATATGAGCTCAAAAAAAAAAAATCAAAATAGCATGTAAAGTAAAGACAATACCTCCACTGTCCAAAAAAAAAACAGTAAACTGGATAAATTAAGGACAATCCCACGAACAAAAGCCTTCAAATATGAAGCCCTATTTGATTTTCCAGGTTGTTGTGTGATTACGGAGGAGAGACAGACGAATGGTTTCTTCATGGTCTATTTGTTAATATGCAGGGGAGAGAGAGAGAGTAACACCTCAAAAATAAGGAGACAGAGAGACAATAACCGCTCAGAATGGGAAGCAATTGAGTAGAGGTGATCATCAACTTTAATTCTTGGACAATTTGTGAATATGCAGGCGAGGGGGGGAGGGAGAAGGGCTAGCGGCTGAAGAGATGAAGAGAGATTAAATGGGTGAGAAGTAATGGAGTCTGTAGCATCTGAGGGATAAGGATGGCATAATAGTAGTTTTGGGGGGGTAAAAGTGAATTTTTATTTTTTTTTCCCATGTATTCAGATTTTTTAAAGTAGTATAGATTATATAATTGCATATCAAAAGATAAAATATAACATATACCTAAGAACAAAATTTAATATGATAACTTCATGTGTAAAATAATTTAATATATATCAAATTTTACTTTTTCATATAGATATAAAAAATTATATATAATTGTATTACTAATAAATTGGTTTAAAAGAATTTAAAAATCATTATAAAAGAGTCAAAAATAAGTTGAAAGTTATAATATGAATAAAAAAATAAAAATTAAATGAAAATATACAGATGTGTATAATTGATTTTATTATAATAATTACGAATAAAATAAAAAATCAAAATTTTTTCGCATATACTGATGTTCATAAATAGTATAGATATTAGTTGGTGGATTTAATGGTTTGATGCATGACTTCCGATTGTTTTCAAATGAGATTAGTTGCCCATCTTTTGCTAGATTTTAAGGGATTAGTTGTCTATGTTTTTAGTGATATATTAGTTGCTGATTGGTATTATTTTATGTGTATTTTTGTCAATCACAAAAATAAGGGACTTACGTACAATTTTTTTTTTTACTAAGCACTTTTACACAATTGAGCGCTATATTGGCTACAGACTTTCAACAAAACCCTAATTTTATTCCTTCAAGCCTCAAGTACCAAGGCCGGCCTAACAGCTGAGGAAATGAAGCGGTGGCTTTAAGCTTCCACAAATAAAAAAAAGTCCTAAAATTTAGAAAGTCAATAAGTACAATTAAGTCAATTTTAACCTATTAAAATAAAAGAACTTTGGAAACCGATACTTTTTTTAACTCTTATTTGAGAAAAAGGTCTCTCTCTCAAAAACTTATTGGATAAAAGTCCTCTTTCTCAAAAAGTTTGAAGTACTCCTCCAAGCATCAAGAAACCCAAACGCCATTTCTCCTATAAGCATCAGTCTCTCACGATTCCTAAATCAACGCCAACAAAAATATGATTACTGTCCCCCAAAACATTGACTCCGATTACTACTTTAGAACGTTTTTACACTCATATATATATATATATATATACAAAAATGTTACCTGTGTGTGTATGTTTGTGTGTGTGTATATACACACACACATACACACAAGTAACTAAATTCAAAATTTAAATAAATTTTAAATTTATTAATTTAAAATATTTCCCAAATTAAAATTATTTCACTCTAAAACTCCTAAAATTTAAAATTTTCTTATGTTAGAATTATTTCTCTCGAAATTCCTTAATTTTAGATTCTTTTTAAGTTAAGGACTATTTCTCAGTCTCTCTCTCTCTCTCTTTGTGTCTCTCTCTATATACATATAGTTGTTATATCAGAACTATTTTGTCACATTTTTTTAATACATTGTCACGTTATTTTTGAATAACTTTTCACATTTTTTTAGTATATTGTCATTTTTTATTTTTGAGTAATTTGTCACATTTTTTAATATGTTGTTATATTATTTTTGAGTATCTTGTCACATTTTTCTAATATGTTGTTGTATTAGTTTTGAGTAACTGGTCATATTGTTTAATATGTTGTTATATTATTTTTGAGTACCTTGTCACATTGATTTTAAAAAGAATTCCATTCGTAAAAAATAAAAAATAAAAAATAAAAAGAAGAAGAAAAAGAAAAGACGAAATCAACATGTCCAGTTGAGCAATTTTCTTCGAGCTAAAAGAGAATACGAAACTCTGAAACGATGAAGAGGAAGCACAAATCTCACTACAAAAAAAAAAAGAAAAAAAAATTACTATATTCTAGGTAAAAACGAAAAGTTTTCTGAAGAAAACTGCAATGTTGAAGAAGACAAACTATTGGTTCAAAAGGATCATGCCAAAATGAATGGAGATCAATTTTTTCAAATTCAAACAGTTGAAAATATCACAATAACCCAAAAAAAAAAAAACCTTTTAAAATATTTAGAGATTTGAAAAAATAGAAACTGCAATATTAATTATGCATAAATCAATGCATGAATAATTAAATAACATTAAAAAAAAGAAAACTGAAAAGTGTACTTCCTTATTATTTTTAATACTTATTTTGAATTTAAATGATTACCTATTAAAACAGGAAACTTATATTCAAATAAGACTTAAAAATGATACCCACACCCAATTTTTCCTTAAAATAAGACTTATGACAAAGCTCCAGGCTTAAACCAACAAAGAAACTCTAGAATAATTGGGCCCAAAAGTCCAATCCATTAATCTACCACAATAACATTTGACGAGCCAAAAAAAAAAGGAACTTCTAAACGCTAGAATGAATTTGGACATTAAATATGAAAAACAAGCACGAAAGCATCAATCCGTGTTACCCCTCTGTCTCTCTCCGCCTAGTCAAAAGGTAAAATTATCATTAATTTCTCTATCTCAAAATTGCAATTAACTTCAATTTCTTTCAAACTTTATTTTCAAACATATATTGTGTGAGTAATGCCAAATTCAAAGAATAAATAATTTTATAAGAATGTTAATGACGAGACCACATACTCGGCCAAATAATCTATGAATTTGAAAGTTTTGAAATTTTTTTATTTAATTTAAAAATTAAGTCAATTTGTCACACTATTAATAAAAAAAGATGTTATTAAAACTTCAATATGAATACTAAACAATTAATATGCCTCTAAAAAGGGAAAACAAAAATTAAATATTAAAAAATTTACACTTTTTAAAAAAAAATAAGCGGTTGTGCGACTTTCAAAAATCACAAGAAGAATTATTGTTAACTCATCTCAACTCTTATTTCTACTATTCCGGATAAGTTATATGAATCCAAATCACACTGTGCAGTAAACATGTCAGATGATAATGATATGGTTTAGACTAAGCTTTTATATTCTCGTACTAACAGACAAATGCTTGTGAAACAGCCATGTCCAAGTAAACATGATAGAATGGTAGACATGGAATCTGAAAAGGAAAAGGGGGGGGGGGGGGGGGGGGGGGGGGGGGGGGTTGGATCATGGCTAAATATCTTCTGGAGAAATGGATGTTATGTTTCTTAGGGTACTCAGCTCTCTCTAAGTTGGTTGATTAGATCACTAGTGCCCACTCCAGAGACTGCAATGGGAAGCAGTTCACTGGTCGCCGCTGTTGCAAAGAGGTATGTAAGATACTGAACCAAGTCTGACAACTCATTTTTTATAACTGAGAAACATCTCAACAATGCGTTTTTTTTAGAACTCCATTTGCTATACATAACTTGCCGAGAAAACATGCGCATCAAGTCAGCCCAGATGCCTCTTACATGACTCGTACTTGGGACATTGATTAGTAACTGCTAAGCTACCATCCAAGTTGGATTATGTGAGAAATCAGTTTGGAGTTTTGAGCTTTGTTTCCTTCGACTGTTGTCCAAGTAGATACTGGAACTGCTCTACTATATTCTTTCCCTTTGCTTTTTAATCAATTGATTTGTTGCTGCACTATTGATCAGTAACTAGCCCCCAATTTGCCCCAATTTTCTAAAAATTGCCAATTTTATGGCTGAATTAGATCAATCTGATCTCACAACCGAAAAAAAGCAAGCTAAAATAAATGTGAAATTCACCTAAACTTTACTGAGTAACAATCAAATATGTTGTCTCTCTTCCTCGCAAAATTATCTGAATTTCTGAAGTTATTGATTGTGTAATTCCTCACTGAGTTTGCCCTTTATACTGAAATTGGTTAAAAAATTCCAAAATTGATTACTTATTTGGTATGCAATTGTCTCAACAAAGGGCCACTTTCTTTGATAACATTAACATCTGTGCTCCTAATGCTTAATAGTTTGTAAGTTTTTATCCGTAGATTGGAAGGAAAAGTGGCTTTGATTACGGGTGGAGCCGGTGGCCTTGGATCCAGCACAGCGAAACTATTCTGTCAACGAGGTGCCAAAATCTTGATTGCTGACGTCCAAGATGGTAATGGCCACCTCATCTGCGAGGAATTAGGCCACGCCAACGCTTCCTTCATCCATTGCGATGTCACAAGTGAAGTGGATGTTCAAAATGCAGTTGACAAAGCTGTTGTCAAGCATGGGAAGCTCGATATAATGGTGAACAATGCCGGCATCATGGGAAGCAACAAAACAGACATTCTGGATAATGGTCAAGCCGAGTTTGAACACGTTTATCGTGTTAACGTTACTGGTACATTTTTGGGCATCAAGCACGCAGCTCGTGTCATGAAAGCAAACCGTGGGGGAAGCATAATTAACATGGCTAGCGTTTGTTCAGTAATTGGTGGAGTTGCTACGCATGCCTACACAAGTTCTAAGCATGCCGTGCTTGGCCTCACGAGGAACACGGCTCTTGAATTAGGGCAATTTGGCATTCGGGTTAATTGTGTTTCGCCTTATGCTGTTCCAACACCAATGTCAAGGAAGTTGTACAATTTAAAAGATGATGATCCATTTGATGTTTATTCAAACCTCAAAGGGGTAGCACTGAAGCCAGAGGATGTGGCTCAGTCTGTTCTTTATTTGGCAAGCGACGAGTCTAAGTATGTAAGCGGGCACAATCTGATTGTGGATGGAGGTTTTACAATTGTGAATACCGCTCTTACGATGTTTGGTTGAGAAAAATCTGGTGGTTGACACCTAATCGATTGTGGCATATTGATAGAGCTACCATGAAAATTTTAAGGGCACAACCTGGTTAACTCTTATTGTAGTTTATTGGTGCACGATCTCAGGTTGAAGCTTATTTGATGAAGTGTGTGTAAAGTATGTGATCAAAAAGTTGAATGTTGTAGATATATTTTACGAATACCATTAAAAAAATTGTGTGTGATATGGGTGTGTGTTTAAGAAAAGCCAATTGAATTAGAATAGAACCAAACTCAAGAATATTGCATTTTTTTTTCGGGATTAGTGCATTACACTAAAGGGTAATGCTATTAAGACCTGATTTTTGGACCTAAATAAGTGATTGATAATGTGGCAGCTAAGTGTCCTCACCAACTGAACAACTGAAGCCACCTAATTTCTTTAAAAAAAAAAACTTAAAAAATCAGCAACTTATAAATTTAGAAACCCTATTTTCACATTCTCACTCTCCGAACTCAATACACCTTCTTCCCCAAAGCCCTAAAATTTCTCCACCTCTTGAACCTCAACATAGTACTCCAATCGCTTGCCACTGTGACACAATGCATGAATATGCATTGAAAAGTAAGGTGAAAAAAGGAGAACCAGGAAGAATGTAAGTCTTTATCTTCACAAGTCCCTTGTGTAATCCATTATGACATGGCGAAACAAGTTTAAAGAGTTTACACTATCTCAAAATTTAAGAAGTTCTAAAGCAAATTGACAGGGAAGATGTATTATGATTTGACTTCAGTCAAAGTGCAAGGTTTGATTTTTGAATACGACGTTTTTGAGGATATCATGATTGAGGAGAAAAGAAAGAGTGCCAATTTCAAGGTTTGGTTCAATGAAAAAGATTTTGAAGTGAAGTGCAATTGTTGCTTGTTTGAGTTTAGATGAATATTATGCAAGCATGCAGTGACAGTGTTAGTCCTTAGAAAGATTTACTCACTTCCTGATAAGTACATCGTACGGAGATGGAGGAAAGGATGTGAAAAGATGTCACACAAAAATTAAAATAAGTTATAACTGTTTGAGAGACACACCTGAAGCAGAATGATTTGATAAAATCTACAATACTTTTAGTGAGTTGGCAAGCTTGGCGGCGGAATATGAAGATAAGTGCACGTTTGTGATGGATTGTATACATGGTCTAAAGGAGAAACTTCAAAACGAAGGAGGTAGTGAAAGTTATCAACCAAGTCCCAGCTCAATTGTTGGTAGAAACTCCAGTGATATAAATGATATATCAAAGGATTGGAATAAACTTACTCCATTAGTAGTTAGAAGCAAAGGTTGTACACCATTCAAAAGGAAGCAATCAAAAGTTGAGCAAATTACAAGGGAAAAAAAAAAGAATACAAAAAAGAAGAAGCTATCGCATGATAATAATACCACTAAAGGAGAAGAGGTGTGAATAAAATGAAATTTTTTAAAATAATAATGTAGTAATTATTTCATTTTGTTATTTTATTTTTTGTAGGATTGTTGACCAGGTGAAAGTAATGTCATTGGGCTTTTTGATGGTCAACCCACGAGTGAAGTGATTGATATACTTGGAACACAAGAAATTATTGGGATGACAGTATGGTATCAACATCCAAATTATAACTATAATATTTGGATGTTAATTATTATTGTGATCTGTCTTAATTTTTTAACTCTAAACATGTAGGATTCGCAGATTACACAAACGGTTAATGTTGGCATAAGTGATGGTCAATGCTCCTCTTTGGAATTTTGTAGTGTGAGTTATGAAAATTGTATGTTATTATCTTGTTGACATCGTAGTTTTTTTTTATTGTATTAATCTAATTTTTTTTTCTTTGATAGAACAATATGACCTTGTTATGGGGGGTCACTCAAAGAGGTCTTGGATACCATTTTATCGTTAGCAATTTAAGATTCATTATAGAAGTTCTTTTTATTAATGGTTGTACTATAATTTCAATTTATGAAATTTCTTATTCTTTTTTTACCATAACCAATATCTTGCTTGGGATGGTGAATAGGGTATGCACCCTGTGCCTTGTTCTAGGGCCATGTCTTGTTCTAGCTCCAAAGAAATGGTAGACATTTCGGAGATGTTAATTATGTCTTCAACATCAATGTCTAATGACAAGTATATTTGATGAGTTGGAGAGAAATTTAGGAATTTTTGTTTTTTTATTCAAAAGTTGAGTTTTTGTTCTTAAACTTGAATCAACCATTCATTGTATTATTTGTTTTTCTATGGCAGGTACAGAAAAGAGGAAGATCGTCTAGTTTTGCTAGAGGAAGATTGTAGTATTTTGTGTCCACTTTATGTTACCCAGTCCATCTGACATGATTTCTATTGCTATGGTGGTGTTGATTTGCATTGTTATGCAAGAAAAAGATTACCTAGTCGTGTAAGAGAAAGACTCTAGTTAGTATTTTGTGTCAATTTGCGTTACCAATGTTGTATTGTTCTAATACATTTGGATACTTTGGATATTTGTAATACAATTTAAGGGTTGAATTTTGCTTTTTGATAATACATTATTTTGTTTGATACAACCAATCGAGTTATTATTGTGGTTTGAATATTTGCTTAATTTTATCACTCGATTAATTTTCTCATCAAGATCTAACTGTATGACATGCGCCTATTTCATTTGACAAGAAGCCAATAATTGCCCAGAAATGGTTTGCAAGTTGAAGTGCTAAATAAATTGAAGGATTTTGGAAATGGAACCACGCTGTAGTGGTTTGATTATTTGATTATAATCCATCAAGAAAATTAAACAAAATCAACAAAAATAACCAATGTAACTACTACCAAGGTTTTGTTCAATAGATAATACATCAACTCTCCATCAATTATAAGAATTTACAACGGTTTTCTTCCCAAACAGTAACCCATCAATTCTAAAACAATTTACAATAGATTTTAAAATGTCCAAAACAACAGAGTTCAACATAGACAATTTGTTGAATAGTTTGTAAGTAAAACTAATCTTTAGACTCCTACACAGACCTTTCCTCCAAAAATACCCAATTTCATGCACACAAACCATGGTCCCCATTTTCATCAACAAATCAGTTCCAAAAAAAAAAAAATCATCCATAATTCATAGGACTGTTGATATGGTGTTGGACAATGGGCAAGCACTCTGACGAAGAGAATGACTAGGCTTGTAAGGAGAGAGAAAGGAAAAGAAGGGAAGAACACTGACGAAGATGAAGATGAGGAGGAAGAACGACACTATCGGTGTGGTCAGCTTTGATCTCAGATAATGATTACTAAGGAAGATGAAGAATGGATTGGTTCACTGCTTGTGGCCGGTGTCAATTTCAGGTGAGTTTTTCTCTAGAAGGAAGCTTGTTGTTCATGTGGCCGGTGTCGATTGGAGATTGTGTCACAGTGGTAGGCGATTGGGGTACTATGTTGAAGTTCAAGAGGAGGAAAAATTTTAGGGCTTTGGGGGAAGAAGGTGTACTGAGTTCGGGGAGAGAGAATGTGAAAAAAGGGCTTTTGAATTTTGTAAGTTGCTGATTTTTTAAGTTTTTTTCTTTAAAGAAATTAGGTGACTTAAGTTGCTGAGTTGGTAAGGACGCTTTAACTGCCACATCATTAAGTCACTTATTTAGGTCCAAAAATCATGTCCCAATAGCATTACCCTACAATAAATCATGGCTTAAGTTTCTAATAATATTTACTTGGAAGCTGATTAGGTTTTCAAACTGCATAGATGATGAATCATTTCATTTTACACATCAATCTTTTTTTCTTTTTTTTTTTGTTTGATTTGTTTAACAATGCCATGTGATTTGAAACTTAGTTGCCTTCTCTTTGATAACCTTTATGTTATCATACGATGGATAATTTATCTTTGTTAAATTTAATTAAGAGCAAACTTCACTTTACCTACTTGTGGTATATCCCAAACGCACATTGCCTTCCTATGATTTAGAAATGTCCACATAACCCTCAGGTGATTTGAGGATTAAAGTGCAGTCCTAACACGGTTAATGGAAATATTGAAATAACTATAATACCCCTTCTTTCTTCCCTTCCGGACCCATTCTTCTTCGTCGATAAACTTTTCATATCCGTTCTCCTTCTTTGGCAAACACCCAATACCACAGCAGACAACAACCCACTCACTCTGTCCACTTGCCCACTCTCTCATAAGTGTACTTCATTGCAACTTATAAGTAGAACAAAGCCTCCTCTCTTTCTCTCTCTCTCCTGCTCTACTTCCCCTAAAAGAAAGTTTGGAATGCCTTACCATTCCTCTATTCCTTTTCCTCCTCCTTCTTTGCATCCTCTCATTTGTAGGTAAAAGACCCTTATTTAACTTTTCATCCTCTCATTTGCAGAGTTTAGTGCTTTTCGCACATCAATTCGCACTCAGTCTCAACCATTGTCACTGGAAGAACTACATGTTCTACTTAGAACCAAAAAAATTGCTCTTTAAACATCACACAAGCCATCCGATTTCTTTTCTACTGCTCTTAATATCACTGATAAGCAAACTGAAAATTCACCAACTGCCATGAACACAGCCAAGCACTGAAATAATCAATACAGTAACAATCAGTATAATAGAGCCCTATCCGGGTATGGACTCAAAGACACCGTCGACCTCCCAGCAAACTCCTTTTCTTTGCAGCCAAACATCAGTCCTTCGCCAACGTATGGGTCCAACGAAACATCACCGTTTACCACCCCTTAACCCAAATCGAAGCCATTGCCTTCGGCAACGAATTCTTCACCGACCACACAACATGTGTGTGTGTGTGTGTGGGTTTGTGTGTGTATGGGTTTTTGCGTGTGTATGTGTATGAGAGACAGTGNAGCACCAATTTGCAAGCACATGAGGAGTTCAATTCATATACTGGCAAATAAGGTCTACAAATTGCCATTGCTGATGGCGAATAAAATATTTTACGAAGTTGTACTAGGTCTGCATTAATTGTAATCCGGATCTCTTAAATCACTCGATTAATCTTTTCATTCACTATCACGAATTGAATTTGACTTCAATTTTAGTTGGTTTGAATCTGAATCTGATTTCAGACTCTGATCGAAATTTGGAATGGTGTTTATGTTTACAAACTATATCCAANTTAATTTAGACAAAATTATTAACTTTGCACTTTAGTCCACAAATCAGGTGAGGGTTACGTGGGCATTTCTAAATCATAGGGAGGCAATGTACATTTAAGATATACCCCAGGGAAGAAAAGTAAAGTTTGTCCTTTAATT